TTGTTAAGTTCAAACTAGTAAAAAAGAATATCAAATTAGACTTAATATACTAAACCAAATTATAGTTTCTTTAAACTTTATAAAAACTTCTTTGGAGCACTGAGCATGCATAGTGGGCATTGAAATAGAGTTGAAAAAGAAGCTATCACTTTGTAATGACAGTTTAAAGGAGCTCTAGAACCATAGAAGAAGTGGTTAGTAAAAGCCAAAAGTCTCTCATAAAGTAAACAACAGTGTTGGATATATTAGTTCTATACAACTGTAAAATCTACAAGAAACTTCCAAAAAGGTTAAGCATTCACAAAAGCTATAGTTTGGTTCACCTCATGCCTTCTTTTTTTTTAAGGAAAATTTTGTAAAAGGAGGCGATTTAGTTTACTCCCTCCAAAAGATCGACACATAAAACACCAAAACAGTCAGCAGTATCTACTTCCTAATCGGAATTGTGTAAACAATACAGCAATACAAACATGACTCATACACATGCCTTGAATCACTGAAACCTTGTGAAATACTGTTCTCAGACTAACCAGTACCTATGCCGACTCTCTACATTCAAGTCAAAGTTTTATCCTATATAGTTTTTGTTAAATATTCTAGTAGATAGAAAAATAGTAGAGTTATTTCTATTTAGTATAGTTTATAATTTTTAAAAAGCTTAATACAGACTTATAATTGTGACCATCTGATAGTTGTATAGCAAGAGTTGCACATATTTTTTCTTTTGTTTCTCATTTCTTTCCTTTCCCTCTTTATTTCTTGTATTTGTATCTTTTATTGTCTACCCTTATACCTCTGTGTTTTTTTATATATAAGTTTTTTTTGTTTTTGTTCACTTCTCTACAAGAAGATATTATCAGATTGGCAATATCCTATTGTAGAGCAGTGGTCAGATGCAGCCCCTGACATACTCTAATTTCTTTTGAAATTAGATAGTCAGTGCAGGCAGATCACTCGTAGAGACTCATAGAAGCACCTGCAGAATGTTGGGCCAGAATTTATAAACTAATTTGTAGGTATGTAATACAAAAATACATAATAAAGGTGACCAGCAAGACTGCTCAAGTGAAGGAAAAAAAAAAAAAAAAAAAATTATAATAAAATAGATAAAATAAATGTAAAGTGTGATGACCTAGTGAAGTGATCAGGTTATCAATTCTTCAAGTAGTAGATTGGGTGTTCAAATCTCATCGATGATAAAAATTTGAATAATTACTTATGTAATATTTATATTATGACAACTGTTATTAATGATTAAATTAAGATATCTATAATGGCAGTCACATCAGCATGACTGATAAGTCATGAGGCATCTGTATAACTTGTTATACAAAAGAATGCAAACTGACAAATTAGATAATGCAAACACTAGATAAGTTCTTGTGGCTGTATAAATCTGTTAAAATTAGATAACAAGAAGTCTATTTGGAAAGACTCAAGTAGAGAGATAGCCAAATCTTCAATAGCCTTACTGTAAAGGCTAGTTTAGAAAAACAGATACCAAGGTTATAGTATCTAGTTATAATAGCTAGACAGGCAAAAAACTCTGAGTTGAAAGTCTCAGAGATATTACTAATTAGGCCATTGAAATGAACTAAAGAAAAAGAATATTAGGTCAACCTAATATATTAATAGACTAGTTGTAGTTCTATATAGACTATCTAAATTGAAAATTTGGTAAAAAGGCTGAACAAAAGGCAAAAATATACTAAAGTATCAGAGTTATACTGTAAAGTAGATGCTGGAGTTTGTGTAAACTTTATAAAAACACAGCAGTTTAATGATTAAGCTCTAACTGCAAGTATAAGTCCTGCTATAATGATATCTAGATTAGTTATAAAAATAGATACAGAAGGTTCTGAGGAATTTACTTCAAGAATAAATTAGTTTTAAGATTAAGATAATAATTTGGGCATCTGAGTATAACCTAGTAAGTTAATACAGATTATAGATTTAAAAGATTTAAGTAAAACATCCAAGCAGAAATGTTAGATATAACAATTAGTAAGAAACCTTTGAGTGAACTTCTTAAATAGGTAATATAGAAAAGTTATATATGTAGCCAATTGTACTCTCTTCTGTAATAGTTCATAGAATTACATTACCAATAAGTTATTAATAAAAGTCAAAAGACCAAAGAGGTTACTTTAAAAAAGACAAAAAGATAAAATAAGTATATAGCTATTGTATAGTCATATGTTTAAATTCAGCTAATGGACATATTAACTCTGCCTAATAAGATTTACAATAATAGCATTAGCCTTTATTAGTATAAATAGTATTTTGGACTATAAAAAAAATATCTATATATATATTAAAAAAATATGAATATGCATAAGGTATGACCTTTGCAGATTAGTGTAACAGATTTTATGTACAAGTAATGACCTTTGCAGATTAATGTAACAGACTTGCATTTATATTGTCAATCATCATATTTCATATATGTAGGGAAAATCTTAGCAATATTTAGCATTATATTTCAGTTAACTAATGGATTCAATTAATAGTGAAACTCCTAATAAACATCATCTTTGATTGAGAAGAGAGGTTGCTGCATGACAAAGAGCTAACAAAACACCAGAACAAAGTGAAACATGTAAAAGACAATGCAGAGAATTGAGAGCATGAAATTCTAGACACATCATTACAACTTTATTAGCACAATCTTCTAATACTGTACAAGTAAATTTTATCTAACCAACTTCTAAAAATACCAATTCTTTTTTAGTTGTAGAACTTAAAAAGCACCTTTCAGAAATGTATTCTCTTGTGCATTTTGTTTCAAGTGTTCCAATAGTAAATTCTGAACATGTCATTATCACTTTATTTGAACAGTCTTTGTATACACAAATAAATTTTTCTCAAACAACTTCTAATATTACTAATTTTTTTTTGTTCTTAGAACTAAATAGGCAACTCTCAGAAATATCTTCTTTTGCACATTTTGTTTTAAATATTTCAATAACAGAGTCTAAATGCATTATTACTACTTTATTTAAACAGTCTTCTCACACAGTACAAGCAAATTTTATTCAAATAACTTCTAATAGTATTAATTTTTTTTTGTTTTCAAAACTAAATAGTCAACCTTTTGAAATGTTTTCTTTTGCACATTCTGTTTCAAATGCTTCTGTAGCAAATGTTTCTATTTTTATACCTATTTTACAATCTGTTTCAGTTCCAAAGGCAAAAGTGTATTCTTTTAATTTAAGCAGGCTATTGTATTATAATCTAGGAAGAATGAGTTATTCATATATTTACTGTAGTGCATTAAAATAGCTTGATGAATAATGCTCAAACTTATCTAAACATTTACCTGAGTTTGCTATCTGTTATGCACAAGAAAAAGTTATGCTTCTACCTCTACAGGAGCTACCACCATTATTAAAAGCATATTTTACAGAGAATAATGCTAGATCACACAAATTTAGAAATAATATACATGCTTACAATTTTGCTCTAGCTTTTACTTCAGTTAATGCTAAAATTAATGAACATATTACTAGAACAAGAGGCCTTTATAGCTTTTGCATATATAGTAAAATGTATTATCAGATTAGGTTTCTTATTTCTCATTTAACTACTAATTCTTCTTTGTTTGCACAAATTTATTTTTATAATACAGAAAATGAAACTCAAAATAGGTATAATATAATGCCTTCTTTAAACAAGGTAACACTTACTAACCTTCAAAATATACTTTATAATGTTAACTTTTATGTTCAAGTTTTTAGACAAACAGGTACTTTCATGTGTCAAAATCAATATCAGAGTTTAACAATAATAATTAAAAATTCTAAAAATATGGATTCTTGACATTATAAGATTCTATCTGCTTCTAAAATTGCAGCTATTATGGTTAAAGATAATACTAATAACTCTATAATATACAATCAAGATATTGTACTTTATTTATATACTAATAGTTTATAGCATATATCTGAGCTACATTGAGCCTATGCTTTATTATATTATGTTCTTTTGTTTTTCTGAAGTAAAGATAGATGACATCTAAAAATTTCTTTTCATAGCATAACTGATGATCAAACTCAACCAGATGTTGAAGATGTTTTAGTAAATGATGCTGATGAAATTACTAACCAAAGATATGTTACTATAATGCAATTTTGTGCTTATTGCTTACAAATAGGCAGATCTAGAGAGGATATAAGTTTTCATCTTGCCAGAAGGCTTTTCCAGCAATATATAGTGAATGCATATGCTATTGTTGAACAAAATAGACTTAATTTTTTAAAGCATAATTAGAAAATGATTCGTGCTGATTTCTATAATGAACTTCAAGATGTTTTAACTATAAGAGATGAGCTTTCTTAAAATTTATCAGTAGCAAATATAGGAAAACAAATTATTCTTTCTTTGAGTTTTACTGATGGTCTGTGTTAGATGCAACAACTGTATTAAGATGCAATATTAATTGTATACACATTTGGTAAATCTGATCTTTTCATTACTTTCATATGCAATCTAGCATAGCCTAAGATTACAGCAAAGCTTCTCAAAAATCAAGCAGCATCTGATTGTCCAGATTTGATAGCTAGAGTCTTTTATATAAAACTGAAAGCATTAATAAATAATATTATAAAGTATTAGATTTTTGAAATTGTTGTAGCTTATGTTTATATAATTAAGTTTCAAAAGCATAGTCTTTCTTATTTACATATCTTTTTAATTCATGATCAAAATAACAAATTGAAAACCGTTGATAAGTATAATAGCATCATTTTAGCAGAGATTCCAGATAAGAATATCTATCCCAATACTTATAAAACTATTTGCTAAATAATGATGCATGGTCCATATAGTTTAGCATATCTGAATGCACTGTGTATGAAAAATAAAAAGTGTTTTAAAAGATATTTACATAATTTTTGTGCTTCTACATCTATGAATAAAGATGGATATCCTGTATATTAATGTCCTGATAATGGTTGATTTGTAGAGATTAAGGATGTGTGATTAAATAATTATTAGATAGTACCCTATAACTTATATCTTGCAATTAAATATGATGCACATATTAATGTTGAAATATGTTCTTCTATATCTGCAATAAAATATCTTTTTAAATATATTTATAAAAGACATGTTTGTGCTACAGTTGAGATAAGTAGACCACAAGAAACTAACTTACAGAAAATTGATGAAATTCATCTTTACATAGATGCCCAGTATGTCTCTGCTTTTGAAGCTGTCTGGAGATTATTTCATTATAAGTTGCATAAAGAAAAACCTGACATAATGCATCTTCAAGTTCATTTTCCTGATTAGCATATAGTATATTTCTATGAAAATAATAATCTTGAAGCAATTGTTATACATAGAACAAATGTTGAAACTACTCTAATCACTTGGTTTAAAGCCAATTAAAAATATTCAGAAGCTTGCACACTTATTTATGAAAACTTTCCTTATTGTTAAGTATATGACAAATAGCATAAAGAATAGAAGCCAAAAAAAAAAGAATATACTATTGAGCAGATGTATTTTGTACATCTCAAAGCAGGTGAACATTATTACCTTCGCATGCTTTTAACTGTAGTATATAGTGCAATATCCTTTAAAAATCTTTGTACAATTAATAATGTCTATTATCCTATATTTAAAAATGCCTATAAAGCTTTAAGTATGCTTCAAAATAATAATGAATAGGATGAATGTTTAAGAAAAGCAATCTGGTTGCAATCAGAATCTTAGATGTGTTATTTATTTATCACTATTCTTATGTTTAATTATCCTATTACTTCAGAATTGCTTTGGCAAAAATACATCACTACATTTAGTAATGATATAATGTTCCAAGCCTGTATAGATGCAGAAAAAAATCATACTATCTGTATTAGTAATGACAATATATACAATATAGCATTATATCAATTAGAACATATTTTAGTCCAAAATAGAACAAGCCTTGAAAATTTTCCTAATATGCCTATTCTAGCATCATTATCTAAAAATTTATTGTACTATAACCATTGATTAAAAAAGAATTGAATTATAATATTACTTTACTTCAAAGTAGAGTTGCTAATACTTATTTATAATTGACCTTCAAGCAACATACCATATATGACACAATTGTTCTTGCTATAAAAAATAATTACCCTATATCCTTTTTATAAATAGTCCTAGAGGTTCAGATAAAACATTTTTATATAGTGCTTTATTAGATAAAATTAGATCTTCTGGTCATATTGCACTTGCTATAGCATCATTGGAAATAGTGGCCTTTTTATTAGATAGTAGTAGTACTGCATATTCCTATTTTAAAATTTCTTTCAACTTGCATGAAACTTCTATATGTAATATTTCATATGATACAGAACTTGCAACACTTTTACAATGCACAAGTTTTATAATTTAGAATAAAACACCCATGGCAAATCATTATACTTCTGAATCTGTTGACTGAACTCTTAAGGATTTGATAGAGAAATTGAATCTTGCTTTACAAAATCAGCTATTTGAAGAAAAAATTGTTGCATTTAGTAGAAACTTTTAACAAATTTTATCTGTGGTGCCAAAAAGAAGAAAAGAGAATATTGTTAACTTCTGCTTATTAAGATCTTATTTATGATAACATATTAGAGTAAAAAATTAACTGTTAATTTACACTTACATTAAGCTGAAGATAATATGCATTCATCTGAGTACCAATATTTTGCAGATTGGCTTTTGAAAATTGGTAAAAATCATGTTGAACAGTATTCTAAAAAAGGCAATTATATTAAACTTCCTAATGATATTTACATTACTTCTCAAAATATGCATGATTTGATAGATTTTGTTTATCTTAATCTTATAATAAATATAACTATTCCTTATTACTTAATGGAATGTGCAATTTTGGCTCCCAAAAATACAGATATTGAGTTAGTTAATACAACTGTTATATTCATATTTTCTAAAAATGAAATTGAGTATTTAAGTGCAGATAGTATTGATGATGCAATAGGAACTAATCATGAAGATCTTTACCTTGTTGAGTATTTGAATGCTATAAATATAAGCAGTTTACCTCTGCATAAATTAATACTAAAAGTCAGTGCATCAGTTATACTTCTTTGTAATATCAATCTTTCAGAAAAGCTATGTAACAGGACATATTTGCTTTGCTATGCTTTTGCTTCTCATATTATTGAAGTTTAAGTCATTACAGAAAAGCATGCTGAGTTACATACCTTTCTTCTTTGGATTTCTTTTACAATTTCCAATTTAACTTTATCTTTCATGCTTAAGCTTGTTAATTTTCTATTCAGCCTACTTTTGCTATAATCATTAATAAGGCACAAGGCCAAACATTAACTTGTAAGATGTTTATTTACCAACTCTGGTATTTTTTTATAGTCAACTTTATGTAGCTTGCTCGAAAACTACATCAAAACAAGGTCTTAAATTCCTACTAATGGAGCAATATGCTAAAGATGAATATATTCAAAATATTGTTTATCTAAAGGTACTATAATAAGAATATTTATTTTTATGATTTAAGCATCTCCAGATATGAAAAAGTAAATATATATATATATATTTTTTTTTTTTAACCTTAAGCAGTTACACTAGTACTTTATTAAGATTCTTGAAACTATATATTTATACAATTACATAGAATTTCCCAATATCTAAGCTTAGCATCACTCAGCCACTCTAATGGTACCTAAGTGCAATCTGCTGCACTATCTTAGTTAAAGATAGACTGCTTGTCTAACTACTTAAAGCCATATTAGAAAGGTCTTCCCCCTTCTGTGACAAGCATATTTATTGTCTTCGTAGTTTCTTTTTTCATTTAGTCTAGCTTTTCTGCTTTTCTTTCTTTTTCTTCTTCTTTTGTTTGTTTATTTTTCTTTACTCTCGTCTTTGTTTTAACTCTTGCACAGGCGCCTTTTTTCATTTTGTTTGTTATATTGATCTTCTTCTCTCAGGCTTGTATTTTTTCACATCGCACTCTCCATACTTGATCATAAAAGGTATTCCATACTGTTCTTGTTACTATATTTATGCACTTCTGTGTTGCCTGCTTGCTTAAGAGTTGCTCGAGTCTTTTTTCTACTTTTAGCATCATGAGTCCCTTTATTAGCACTTTTCTTCTTGTGATTTCTTCAGTTTCAGTTTCTTCAAATAGTGCCTTGTATAGAATTTGTGGTGGAATTCTGTTTTTTTTCTCTTCCTTAAGTCTGTTCTATGCTGTTGCTGTTGCAACCTTTTGAATTCACTTCTACAGACTTTTTTGTCTGCTGCAACTTGCTAAATGTGCCTGAGTTTCTTTTTCTCCAACTTGGCATACTTGGCACTCTGCTGTTGTATATATTTTGGTCTTCTTTTATTTAGCTCCTCAAACATTGGTAGGCTATCCATTATGCATTTAATTGCTGTAGCTCTTCTTGTGCTGAGTTTTCTTGACATACAATGTACTTCTTTTGTTCTGTTCATTTCTTTCCAAAAGCTTGACCAATTATATAATGCATTTTCTGTATCTGGTTCTAATGTTCATATTGGGTTTGTTTCTCTCCAACTGGCTCCTATTCTGGCATTTGCTATTATCTTATACAAAAGTCTTGCTGATATGTCAATTTTCTTGTTTTTCCATTCTAAATAGTACTTTATCTCATTACTTTTGACTTTATCTGCATATATTTTATCTTAGTAATTTGTTTCTTTCTTTGCAAAAGAGTCTGCTTTGTCATTCCATTTGTTTTCACTATGGCTTTTAACCTTGATTAATTCTATCTTAATGTTCTTGCTCTTGATTAGACCTACAATGCTTAG